TTTGCCATTTCAGTAGACACAGGGGAAGTCCTAGACTACCATGTGTTATCCAAAGCTTGTCAAACCTGTGTTAAAAAGGAAACACAATGCAATGGAAATGAGGAAATGCTTGAAGAGTGGCGAAGAGAGCATGTGGCAGCTGGTGAATGTGACATAAACTTCACTGGTAGTTCGCCAGCAATGGAATCCGAAGGTGCTGCAGTTATTTGGAACAGGTCAATTCAACTTCACAAGCTGCGGTACAAATGGATGGTTTCAGACGGAGATAGTAAAGCTTTCAACACCGTGGAAAATGTGTAGGGAGAGCCGAAAGTTGTAAAACTGGACTGTGTAGGCCACGTTCAGAAAAGAATGGAAAAGCATCTCTTGAATATTAAATCTCGGACAAAAGGGAAACTGGCTGATGGTAAACCAGTAGGTGGACGTGGGAGGCTCACTGAGGGCAAAATCAAACAGCTACAAAAATATTATGGTCTGGCAATCCGCCAAAACACGTTGAAACAAGCAAATCCCTCAGACCGAGAGGTCGATGTTGCTGTATATACAATGAAGAAGAACATTGTTGCAATTCTTCACCACAGTGTTGAATTAAACAATCCTACCAAACAACACCGCTTCTGTCCTGCTGGGGAGACTTCCTGGTGTAAGTGGCAGCAGGATGTAGCTACAGGCACTGCAACTTACAAGGGAGATGATTGTTTACCGGAGGTGTTTTTGGAGCTCTTACGTGCAACATTTATGACCCTAAGTGACTCAAAGCTCCTCGAAAGATGTGTACGGGGAGCAACCCAGAACCCAAATGAGGCTATAAACTCTTTGGTCTGGGTGCGCTCTCCCAAGCATAAGCATCATGGAGTCAAAATAATTCGTTTTGCTGCCGCATCTGCAGTATGCCACTTTCATGGAGGGGCTCTGAGCAGGAATAGAGTCATGGAGAGACTTGCCATTCCTGGTGGCACACATACCAAACACTCCTTTAGCTTAAAAGACAGGAAACGACTGCAGAAAGCAGATAGGCAAGCAACAGCCAAAGAGAAGAAGCGACGCCAAGGGCAACAGCTAGTGCGAGTTCGTCGAGAGGAGGCCTTGCGGGAGATGGAAGGAGTCACATATGAAGCTGGAGGCTTTTGATGATACTTTCCTTTGCTTCAAATAGCAAAATTGTGGCTTTATGACTCTTATTGACCTTACAATTGTACTATAGTTGCTTATTATTGAGTTTCCTAAGTTTAATGTTCTGTTTCTCAAAACGGGCTTTTTTACCCTTTGAGAAAAGATATCTCGAGAAGGGTTAAAGCTATTGACCTGAAATTTTCAGGGCTTGAAGTTCTTTAAGAGTGGCTTGGGATGAGCTAAGGAATTGTCCATAGGGTTATTTCTAAAGAAATTGTTAACAGTACAAGTTGACAATTTTCAGCAAGAAACTTGAGTGACGTGCTGTGGCATGTCAATTTAAAATATTTACAAATCCTTAGCTCATCCCAATAAGCAATCTATATACTGTATGTTATGCCAAGAAAAACTTCATAGCCTAAATTAAACAGCAGAAATGTTTTCTCAAGAGTGCAGTGGTCATTGACCGTATATGTCATGTTTGGACAGGGGCTGCGCTGTCAGTTTTGACCACCCTGTATTATAATCTCAATTTTTGACATCTTTGACTCATAAGCTTTCCAACGATATATAGTTTGCCATACTTTCAAGTCATATCTTGGAAGTTACGGTTATTTAAAAAAAGTCGCCTTTTTTAGGTAAAAGTGCAAAATAGGATGTTATGTCATTAAACATCCACTTCACTGATGACCTCACTTTGCTCATGGAGGAATTGAATGCCTCTTCATCTGCAGTAAGGTGACCTTTTTAAAAGGGGCTTGTATGTAAAGGGTAGCCTGGATCGCCATAAATGCATAAGGGATGGCCTGTTTGGTTAAAGGAGTACTGCTCCAGCTGATGCAGCAGTCCTGACATCCTTAACATTGCTGAGTCATGTCTTTTTCCTTCTGTTAACAAACCCAAATAATTAACATAAGCTTGAAAAAAGCATCTCCT